GGCACGGCCGGGGCTGACCGGGCCCTCCCGCTCTCCCCGCAGGATCAACACCACCCTCGCGCCCCTCTTCTTCGCAGACCAGTTCCTGCAGATCTCCACCTCCTTGCCCTCCCGGTTCATTTCTGGGCTGGGGGAGCACCTGACGCCGCTGGTCCTTGACACGGCATGGACCAGGGTCACCCTCTGGAACAGGGACATGGCACCCGTGGTACGGAGCGGGGCTGAGGGGAGGGAGATGGCCCCACAGCCTCGGGGCCGGCCCCAGCCCTGGGACTGCTTTGTCCTGCCCCCGGGAACTGCACGCTGCTCAGGAGCTGCTTTCCCTCGTGCAGCCCAGGGCTCTGGCTCCCAGCAGAGCTGTGCCGGCTCAGGCAGCGCCTGGGACTGCAGGGCCTCCCCCAGCCCTGATTGTGCCCCTGGCTGGGGACGAGGGGTGGGTGGGTGGGTGGGTGGGTGTATGGGGGGTGCTATGCCCGGGTGTCCTGCAGAGCCTCCCCAGCTACTCGCTGTGCTCTGCTCCAGCCCCAGGTCAACCTCTACGTTTCCCACCCTTTCTACCTGGTGATGGAGGACAGTGGGTCAGCTCACGGCGTCTTTCTGTTGAACAGCAACGCGATGGGTAAGTCCTGTGGAGGTGCCAGATGTGGGCTTGGCCCCTGTCTCCATCTTCAGCTTGTTCCTCTGGTGTTGTGCTTCCCCAGATGTGCTCCTGCAGCCCAGCCCGGCCCTGACCTGGCGCACAACGGGCGGGATCCTGGACTTCTACATCTTCCTGGGCCCCGACCCCAAGAGCGTGGTGCGGCAGTACCTGGATGTCATCGGTAGGGCTGAGCCACAGGTGGGGTCAGGGGGGCTCTGGGGTGGCTTTGCTGGGATGTTGTGAGTGGAGCAGGGCTGTGGGGGAGCGTGGGGCTGTGCTTCCCCTGTGCCTGCCTGGCCAGCACCTGCTCTTCCAACTTCCAGGGTTCCCCTTCATGCCCCCGTACTGGGGCCTGGGCTTCCACCTCTGCCGCTGGGGATACTCCTCCACCGACATCACCCGGCAGGTGGTGGCCAACATGACAGCAGCCCGCTTCCCCCTGGTAGGTCTCAGCTACTCCCCTGAGGCTCTGCCCAAAAGCAGCCATGGGTCTGATGGGGAGCCCCCATGGAGCAGGGGGTCCTTGCTCCTCCCCAAGCCCTGGTGCCTCCACCCACAGGATGTGCAGTGGAATGACCTGGATTATGCAGATGCCAAGAGGGATTTCACCTTCAACAAGAAAACCTTTAAGGACTACCCAGAAATGGTGCAGGACTTCCACCGCCTCGGGCTGAGGTACATCCTGATTGTGGTGAGTGACACCCCTCGCTGTGCCAGGGCTCCCGCATGGCTGGGCTGGCACTGGGGCTTCCAGCTGTCCCCAAGGCCCATGGTGGTGCTTCCATGAGGAAGGCAGAGGAGTCCATTCCCTGTTCTCACTGGTGAAGCTCTGGCTTTGTACCCTGCCAGGATCCTGGGATCAGCAGCTCGGGGCCTCCTGGCACCTACAAGCCCTATGATGAGGGACTGAAGAGAGGGGTGTTCATCCAAAATGCCACAGGGCAGCCCCTGGTCGGGAAGGTGTGTGTGAGGAGCAGCCCCAGTCCCTGTGGGAAGCGGATTGAGCTGGAGGGAAGCACCCAGGGAATGGCTGTGGGGGCTGTGGGGTCCATGGGGTGCAGTGGGCTAGGGACAGTGGGGCTTTTCCATTGCTGCCTCCCTGCAGGTGTGGCCAGGCCCAACAGTTTTCCCAGACTTCACCAACCCAGAGACTCATGAGTGGTGGCATGACATGGTGAAGGACTTCCATGACCAAGTGCCCTTCGATGGCATGTGGATTGTGAGTGGCCCCAGCAGAGCTGTTGGCTGTGGCTCTTCAGCTCCTGCCCTGCACTTCTGCTGGGCCCTGGTGCAGCAGTGAGCACATCCATTCCCTCCCCTTTCCTTCCCTCCCCAGGACATGAATGAGCCATCAAACTTTGTGGAGGGCTCCCAGGACGGCTGCCCCACCAACAACCTGGAGCAGCCCCCCTACGTGCCAGGTATGGGGAGCAGGTACCAGCCTCTTCCCAGGGGTGTGTGGAACCCCAGGAGGAGCCTGGGGGTGCTCTGGTTCCATCCAAGTGGGCTCCAAGCTCTCTCTCACCACTGCCTCTCCTGTGCAGGTGTTTTTGGGGGACGCCTCCAAGCTGGGACCATCTGTGCCTCCAGCCAGCAGTTCCTGTCCTCCCACTACAACCTGCACAACCTGTATGGGCTGACTGAGGCCATCGCCTCCCACAAGTAAGCCCAGGGCTCCTGCTGTTCTGGGGGATGCACATACCAGGGGACACCAGAGCCAGGAGAGAGACCCCCTCCTTATGCTGTCGTGTGTGCAATTTGGGCTTGGGGGGGGTGAGGGTTTGGTTTATACCCCAGTGTGCTGCCTGCTGCTGCCAGCCCAGCGCTGGAGGGGGCTGGGGCTGGTGTGGTGCAGCCGTGCTGGCTCCTGGGCTGGGGGATTGTATCCTGAGCGCTGTCCCATGTCACCTGCCCTGTGAGCCAGCTCTGTGCTGCTGCCAGGAGCCACTGGTGGGGGGCTGAGCTCCCTCCCCAGCCAGTCAGTGCAGAGCTGACCTGGTCCTGCCCACAGCGCCCTGCTGAGGATCCGGGGCAAGCGTCCCTTTGTCATCTCACGCTCCACATTCTCTGGGCACGGGCGCTACGCGGGGCACTGGACAGGGGATGTGGGCAGCGACTGGGAGCAGCTGTATCACTCTGTGCCAGGTAGGCTGCAGGGTCCTGTGGTCCATCCCTACTTCCCCCCGGTGCCTCCCCCGCAGCCTGGGG